GGGGAGGACGAGAAGCTTAAGTTTTTAACCTTTGTTACTACTAATACGCGCGGAAAGCATTGATAATTTGCCTCCCTATGGGAGGCGTTATATATATAGCTGTAGCAGATATAATTTGACTTCTTTGTAAGATTGAGTTCCTTAAATGATTACTCAGAGCCATGTGTAGCTACGGAATTATGGAATAAATTGGCTGTACAAATTACGAATTGCTAGGTCCTTACATGTATACACTTAAGCGCAATCAACACCTCTATTGTGTTATATAATCTTACGCTTATTTCTTTACTTCATTCTTTCATCCGTGGAACAAAGTGAGCCTAAAAGCAGCTATTTGAATATTAGTGATATTGTCATAATCACGTCAGACTTGTATATCGCTTCGATAACAATTTATTTAGTTTTATTTAATTTAATTAGTAAAATGGTATTAAATTATAATTTTCATTTCTTGAAGAGTGACGTTAAAAATTGCCCGTTTTTTGGGCTCTCGATTTTGAGACTAAACTGTGTGCCAAATGGTATCTTGTAATGAGACATTAATCACAGAGAAATTTCAAGTTGAGGTGACAATTGCTATCAGAGTTGGAGGGGAGAATCGAAGTTTATTAACGAATTTTAAGAGGGAATAGTAGTCTCATTATAGAGTATACCATTTGGCACACAGTTCAGTCCCAAAATCGAGGGCTTAAAAAACGGGCGAAAAAACCTTTTTTAGCGTCACTCTTTGTTTATTGCAATCACGTTTAAAATATCTTATTATTGTGCAATATGCAAATTCTTGTAGTATCTTTTCGACGTTTATGTTCTATTTAATTATTTCTATTTAACTTTATCTATTTAACTTTGCAGCGATTGTATAATAGTTTCCAACGGAACACAGAGATGATTGATTCTCTTGCGTTTCAGTCTCCTAATTCGCCGTAGCATGAAGACTCTTATTTGAGCAATCTCATTTCTATTGACTGACAAATGCAAGACGGCGAAATTGTACAAATTCATTATCCTGTTTACAGAGCGCACGGCACCGCGGTTTTATACAAATTGTCTTTAATAATCTTGTTTTGCGAGCAGCGCCACGATGGCGCGATCGTGGGGTAATGATGGTAGTTTGTTGTCTCTATAAAAGCGGCGTTTCGCAATCGAGATTAATAGCGTTCAAAGAAACTGAGATGGCTCGTATTACGGGGAGGAGGAGGGGGGGGGGGATGGACACGAATTTACGGATCGACGTACAATTATTCCGCTTTCGCGAGTTGAGCAGTAGTAAAATCGCCCTTTTTCCCCGTCCCGATCGACGTGCGACGACAATTCACGCGCGCTCATTAATCGCGCGAGGGTGCTTATTCCTCTCGGTATCACCCGCGCTGAATCCGATAGTCGTTGGCCTGAATTTACGAGCAAGCTGTCATGCGACTTTAGTGCTCAATAAATAGCGCGCGGATCATTTTTCGCGAACGCGCGCGAGCGGTGCGCGAGATATTATTTCTCTATCTCTCTGCGAATTAATCGATGCGCGTCGATTCGACGAGATAGCAATCGTCCAGCCCCCCGGGTGGTCGTAATTCGCGCAATTCGTACATTGAAATCGATTTACGAAACACCCGAGACAATGAAATCTTTATAAAGGCACTTCATCTCCACGTTATCGCATACTTTGACTTTCAAAATTGGGTGACGGTAGTAGAGGAAGGCTGTTAAATCTATAATTTTCTTTTAGTCATTAAAGAGAATTAAAAGCAGACCAGGACTTTTGACGTTTCAAATACTTTTTCATATCCCTGACAGTTGCAGTTATTAAATAATTATGCGACTTTTGCAACTGCATTTTGATTTTTGTTGCTTTCTCCTAGAGTAATCTACTCATAATTATACGCGAAAAAGGACTCCTTTTCATTTGCACTATTTTATAGAATGACGTTCTATTTCCGTGACTTTTTTCGCCGGCAGCGATTTACGGTAGCGGTTCAAGCGTTTGGCGAGCCGCGCGCAAAACGGCCACGAGCCGCAGGAAACACACAGCTGGCAAGCATAATTCACATAGTTTATAATTGACGTGAGGAAAGCCCGCTGTGCAGACATCACGCGGATGATACGTGATGAAAGGCAATAGACGTAGACCTCGTTTCGCAGCCTCCCGGTAACAATTATGGCGTTAACGCGCACCTTCGAACCTCCATTGTCTCACATCCGAGGGGTAGAGGGATTGTCGCGGCCCGTCTGACGTTAATAATCGACTCTCTCTCTCGCCATCAAACTTTCCGCTTTGAGCCCAATGACGCAAACTACTGGTGACGTTACGAGACAACGGCATTATTGCGTGTCGATTGCGCCATTCCTTCGAGACTTACACGACTACCACGTGTATGTCCGCCTGCAAACGGCCTACAACTGCCCGGCTCGTGCCTCGTGCGTTTCCCAGCGGTTAATAAAAGAGAGTGCGTTCCCCGATCCATCATTCCTTCGAATAGTTCATCGGGGACGGTCTTGCGTCGTTCACGTCATGTGGAGCACGTGCATTGTTTCATCGGTGAACGTTTCTCGCGCAATCGGTATTTGCATGATCGATGAGGCGCTTGAGTCTTTTTATGACAAAAAGCAGAAAAATTTCAATGATAATCCGACATACCTAAATGACATTTTATACTTGCAACTTAATTAGAGAGAAATAACGTTTATTTTAATATAATTTTTTACTTTTGATTGATCACAGTACGCGATATTATTCACTGCTCGACATTCTGTCTAATATCTAATAATTAACTTTAAAAGCTTACGAAGAACCGCTAGTTTTTGTTGATTATGATATATTAAGTTCCATATAATATTTTTCTTGTTGCGTAGAATTTATAGGTATTTTTTTCGAACGACGAAACGATTTCGTTTCTATTTAATTGTTTTGAGATTATCCAGCGGTGTGTATGAAATTCCCAATTTTTTATGTTTCCGAATACGATTTTACCTGCAACCAAGACAGTTGCTAATGTTCGACGAAAATAATTTGACAAAAAATCATGTTGCCTTAAAACTAAAGTATTTTTAGAAAATAAAAATGTTTGATTATTGATATAATTAATTTATATTGTAGGAACTAGCGTTTTGTTTTTACAACTAAAAAGTTTTAAAGTCAGGATAATATATGTAATCCAATAGACATCACAATATGATATATGATAATAATAATGATGCCGTTATTAACATTTCAGAAAGCGCGCACGAAGATGAGGAGCAGTTGGCCAGGGGCGGCGCAACCCCTGGTGAAGACATCGCCAGTGAAGAGGACGACGGTCAAGGTGGCACGAACAACTTTCCCTTGAGAATGGCGTCCGGCACAACGAGGGGTCGAATCACCAGCATCACCGGCGGCTTCCTACGCGCGGAGCGCGCCGCCGGGCAGCATGTGAACTTCGACCCCGAAGCGCCTCCACTGCCGCCGACGCATGTCGTACAGACGACCTGTCTGCTCGAACGACCGGAAATTGACAAGAAAGTCAAGGTAACGAAAGATAACAAAAATTAACGCATATTATTTCAACAGAGAGAGAGAGAGAGAGTATTACGTGGCATCGAGCAAGGAGATAAATTGCTCTTTCGCCCGTGCGTGTTTGCGAGATAACGCAGATTTTAACAGAGAATAGTCGGGATCGTATTACTTCTAATTAAGCTCAGTGTCTAATTAAGCGAAATTAACTTTTAGTATATATATCAGCATTCTCGTATTTCCTCGAACGAAACAAAAGGATCACCTTACATCGTTAAGAGCGCTGCGACTTTCTTTATTTGAAACTCTTTGATTTATACATTATTCTCCTTATTGGCTTCGCTCTTCCCGGTATAATGAATACTAGAGAGCGGGATAACAGTTGTACCGTTAGCAATTTAAAACGATTCCGACGGTAATGATGCAGCGGAGGGGAAAAGGTTATCGGGTCGTAGGTTCTCCGCCGAGGACTGGAAATAAGTCGAGCGCACCGGCTCGTGGTTTCCGTCCGCATAAATTCCCCTCCTCCTCGCCGAGGCAGCAGGGAAACTTACAACTCGAGTTTGACGAGCGGCAAAAGAAGCGGAAACAGAAAGGGCCGGCGGCCGATAACGACGTTCCGATGCCGATCCAATTTGCGCGGCGCGGCTTGAGAATTACGAGAGAAGAGTGAGAGAAAAAGAGGGAGAGAGAAAAGGAAAAAAGCTGCTCTTCCGTTCTTTTATTGGGTCTCGCCGAATATTGGTCGCACGATAGCACGATTTGCCTCTTCTCTCCCTCTATTCGCCCGCCCGTTCGACGGAAAGAAACGAAGCACAGCTGGTACCCGGGCCGCGGATCAAGTTAGATTAAACCTTAACGCTGTTTCAATAACCACGTTTAACGCAGACGACGGCGCGCGATGGACCGGGCGTGATTATTTTAATTTGCACGGGGTCGGGTCCGCGAGGAGAGAGAACTGGCAGAGATGTTTAATATCAACCCGCGTATATGTACAACCGAAGCAATGCGACTGATCGATGCCGCAGACCTTTTAGCCTTCGAATAAAGCCAAACCCCTCTCGGCCGAATTTCTCTCGCTCGCTCGGCTGCACAGCGACTGACTGCATTATTTAGCGGCCAGGCGGATCTGCAAATAGCTTCGGTCTCCACATCGCGGCATTTCTGCGGCGCGTTTGTGGATAATTAATTGTATCATCTCGCGACGTGTGTGTGCGCGCGCGCGCGCGCGCTGAGAAGAAAGAAGGCACACGAAAATGGCTGTAAAGGGGATAAGCTAGCCCGACAAGGCGAACCGGAGAATGTGTCGCTTGGGGAAACTTTGTTTTTATACCGTACGACGTTCTCCGAGTCGAATTAAGTACAGAGGCGGATACGTATACGCGTGCGTATTCTCGGGCATTCGTGCTGAGCAGCTATATCAGAAAAGTTTTTCGTTTCGTTTTTTTACCGTCTCGTAAAACGGCAAGTAGATTGCAATTCCTAAAAGGATATGAGAACGACGAGCGAACGATCTCCCGATCTTCCGACTTTGCGTTTCCTGCAGGGATCGGGATCACCGCCCATCAGGAATGCCACCCTCGTGACGCTTTGCCGCCGTAACACGCACTTCGCACACGCGGTGCACCGTGTGGAACACGCGTTTAATCTATTTAGGGATGAAAAGCTCTATGGAGAGAGAAAGAGAGAGAGCGAGAGAGAGAGAGAGAGAGAGGGAGAAGGCAGGCAGGTTGCTTTCATCTTTTAGTGCCTCGTAAATGTCCTCGAGTGAGCTCGCGCAGCGAGAGAGACCGCAGCCACTGAATCCTGGTGTGTTACGTGACCGAATTTCGTGACCACCCTCGTCGCGAGCTTCAAACAGTCAATTTTTGATGGAATTAGCATTGGTTAAGAAAAGACACCAAAACCCCGCCGTGTCTCTTAATTGTTAATCACAGCAGCCGAAGTATTTTCGTTCAAGCTATTTTTATTGCGTGATGTATAATACATATACAAAGCCTTTTATTAATTGCATCGGTATACAGTCGAACCTCGCTAACTCAAGGAAAGAGCTAAACGCCTAAACTCTTCGAGTTATAGAGTTTTCGACGAGTTTCTTATCGAAATTCGAGTAAAAGAGGGCCGTTAACATACATGAAAATTCGACTTACGGAGGTTTTGTTATACGAGAGTTTATAATTTTCCGATTATAATGAATTTTTTTCCTTTTAAAGGAAAAAAATTTAATATTTGACAGTAAATTATTTATTGTATATGTCATAAATGTAATCATAAAACATAATACTCAACTATTACTCATGATTACACGTATAGCTACAACTTCGAATTATAGAGGCAGCAATAATAAAAGTTCGATTTATATAGAAATGAACTTTGACTTGTAGAGATCTGGCTACTTTAAATTCGAGTTACAGAGGTTCGAGTTATCGAGATACGACTGTACATGCTTGGATTTTGAGAAAGATTCGTTTCCGCCTTTCTCTCAAAAATTTTATTTGAATTTTGTACTAGCGAAATTCATGCTCTCTCCTTCACACACGCTGTTTTATAAATAGTTACAGACAATACGGCTTGTCGACAATAGAGTATTCATTGTGCAGAAGATCATAGAAATATAATATAACGCTACAGAGAACGCGCATATATCACCGATGCTAGTGTATGCCGTCACGAATGCGAGGCGCGAATAGTAGATAGAGACAGTTTAGTCAGACAGGGAGACAGTGGTGGCAGACTGCACGTGGAGCCGGTGTATATGGAGACAGTCGAATGCGGGGACAGTAGAAATACAATCCGAATGCAGACGGCGAGTCAGCTAAATAGACGTTAAAGACGGCAAATACAGTCTGCGCAAGATATGTACAAAGTGGGCTGTTGGAGACACGTGTGTGTCTGTTTACAATTGCATCAATTAAGACAAACAATGAAAACGTCATTTTTCTTAATAATGACTAATTAAGTGCAAAAATTTCAGCAAACTATTTATTTAAATTGTAATTAAATTAAATAATTTTTATGTTGATCGATTTTTTTAAAGGGACAAATTATTTATTTTAGCTCTTGAAATATTTTTCTCCGCTGTTAAAGTAGCAAAAATATATCTTCAAGATAGAAATTTTCCTATATAAAATAATCTAAAATATAAACTATTACTCAAACTCCTGAAATCCGAATGGGACTTTTCAAACAAAATAAATGCATACGTTGCTGATTGCCGTGATTGTAAAATTTATAACATAAAATCTCTAAGTACGTACGTACGTTGCGATGTCGAGTGATTCCTTAATGACGGGATTTATAGGCCACGTTAAGTGTCTGCTTGCCAAGAGTGCACGCCGCGCTGAGACACGAAATCCTTTCCGATGTTCCGCGTAACGAAGGCATTGAGGCGAGGCATTTAATCCACGATGGCAGAGTGAAATGCCACTGGCTGGCGGGCGTTCCTGCATTTTCCTGCCAGCGGTGGATTTAATCCTGTTTGTAAAACAGTCTCGTCAAAAACAACTTTTCGTTGGAAGGGGGGAAAAAATCCGGGTAAAGAGTCCTCCCGCGAAATCAAGATAGAGTTCACTCGCGGATCAGTCTCTCCCTTTCTCCCTTAGGGATTTTGCATTGTCTTACGAAAACAGACGCTTCGAAAAATAGTGATGAGGGATCTTCTCGTAAAGTGGAAATCAATATCCGAGATTGGGGGCTTCGATACAATTCACGCGCGAGGCGAGGGATTTGCTCTTCCCCCATGTACTCCGAGCCTCCTGTAATAATTTTGTGACATAATACGAGAAAATCCGAAAGCACTTTAGAGCTTGGAAAAAGATTCGAGAGCTACGGAAAGTTATTTGCCTTTATGTCGCGTCTTTAAGGAACGTTATTAATTTAAAGCAAAGGGAAAATGCTGGAAAAATAGAGTCAATTAAACAATAATTTGATACTTAGAATTAGATAGTATGTGTGTTCTAACATATTCTCGGATGAATTAAATTATGTTCCAGAGCTACGATTGGTAATTACAATTATATAATTATAGTGATGCTTATATATAATTACGAATTTTCTTAACTTATGTATTTTTCGTACACATATCATGTTCATAGCTTTCAAACTTCAAAAGGGTTTACACGCTCAGATTTTTGGATCGATTGGTTCAAAACGCAAACTCTGATTTATTTAAACAAGAGGTGAATAAGTTAAATTATGTTCCTGAGCTACAATTGATAATTATAATTATATATAACTACAAAATACTTATATATAATTACGAATTTTCTCAACTCATGTATTTTTCGCACACATATCATGTTCATAGCTTTCAAGCTTCAAAAGGGTTTACACGCTCAGATTTTTGGATCGGTTGATTCAAAACGCAGACTATAATCTATTTAAACAAGGAGCGAGAAGAAGACGCGAAAGCGTCCGCGGACGCGAGGTGCAGGAGAGGGATACAAGCAGGTGTATATTCCAGCACGACGACGCGCTCGAGACACTAGAATATAATACCGCGAAGGTCGGACATTGACAACGAGTGTTTGCTAAGGGCGCACCTTAATTGTCGAACCGGCGCACCCTCGGCAAACACCGTCTATCATACGCGTGCCTTTACGGCCCGCTAAGGCCCGCGCGCGACCCTTTTTCGCCCCCGTATGACGGCCGTGCGTTCGTCTCTCCTAAAAGTGGATTTCGATCAAGGTGAAGTTTCCTCCTCCGCCCCTCTCCCGATCATGCGAAATACCGACGTAGGCCCTTGGGTCAAGATTTGCGTTCGAGAGTTGCACCCTCCCGCGCGCGCGAGCGCGCATCCGCGATACGTCGCGCACACGTGTCCGACATTTATGGATCGAGTTTCGAACAACATAATGCAGACGCTATCTCGCCGTGCACGGCAGATATCACGACGACGGGATGAATTCGTTGCGAAAGGGGGAAGCGCGCGTATGTATATGCATGTATCTCGCCGCGCCGGGAGTGCTTCAATAACTTTCGATAATCGATAATAAAACAGCTAATTCACGGCCCGCCTCGGTGCATCCCTGTTTATGACAATGTAAAATTGATTGCGCAAACGAATGTACAAACCGGCACGGGCGAGCGACAATTAAAACGTGTCGCTAAGCAAATTTTATATTTATGGCCTTTATATACATGAAATATACACGATCAAACGGAATTCATATTTGTGTCAACGTTGAAACATAATTTGTACACCGCTCGACGATAATTCGGTTTTCGTTATAAAGTTTTATGCCGTTCCCGCTGGCAATTTCAATATCAACTTCAAGCTGCTCTAAAATATTGCCGCGCACCCAATTTAATTTAATAGCACAACAAATTAATGTCATCAAATTATACTCTTCGAATGCGAATAGATAATACGGGAATAACGTAGAGAGAATAGGGTTTAATTTCAGCTTGATTTCACAAACAAACTTTATATTAGCGGAATATTAAACGTTTAACTTTTTTTGCGATTTATCGTGTCCGATGTTAGGAAAAAAAGCTCATGAGAAATGGTCACGTATGACTAAAGCTTTCATTATATTAATCGCGTAATCAATGAAAGAGTCAGGGGGGAGGGGATACGTAGATCAAAGAGAGCGACCGATCGCGATGCGAGGCACGCATTGTGCAGAATATGCAATGTTACGTTACATTCCTCGAATGCAGTTATGAGGGACCCCTACAATTGATCCTCCTCCGGGGTGCATTTCACCTCGTTAACTGCTCCCTCGCACACACGAACGCATACGCTCGTTCCAGATTCGGTATGCAACTTCCGCGCGAGTGGCGCCGGCGCAAAATCACGTAGCGAGCGTTGAATCGTGCATGACCGCCACAATGGGACGGCGGGGAACGAGGACTAGGGCCACTAGACCTCGTCGGAAATACGTGTGACTTAACGCACGTTTTGTTAACAGCGCGACAACGGCGCGTTGAACCGTAAAGCGAGGCGAAAAAACATTTAGAGACACGGGTATATACGCGCGCGAGCGGGTATATCGGTGCTGTTATATAAAGAAACGCCGGAAGAGAAGACGTAACACCCGGAGAAATACGACCGACTTCGCGTTTCTCTCGCGTAGGCGGTAGTTACGGAAATTACGTTTTTAGAAACGCTGCTTGTCTTCCAGAAGAAACTCCCTCTTCCCCGTGAGATTTACATTAAACAATACCCCGGAACGCTCCTAATATATCTCGCAAAATTTCGAAGGAACGTTTATTAACTTCCGGACTTAAGCGTTCGTGAGTTAACTAATATTATATAAAGTATAATAACAGCAATAATAATAATAATAATAATAATAATAACTTTATTAAATGCAATACTAGATATTAATGTTACATAAATTAATATACAAAGAAAAGAGTGATTATGTCGCAAGTAAGAAATACCAAAGCAGATGAGAGCTGTGTGAAGTTAGCCCCCCCCCCCTCCACTGAAAATTTACTAACAACCACTCGATTGATAATATTAGTAGTCGTTTGATAATATTTGGTAGTCCATTTTTGATGATCGGTAGTCAAAGTTGTAAATAGTAATATGAAAAAAAGACATGTGCGCGAAGTTAGCCGCTCCTTTCTCAAAATATGACTTTCCAGACTGCGACCATATTTTGCGAAAAGAGGGACTATCTTCACACGCGTATGTCTTTTTTCATTAAACATTATTATTTACAACTTTGACTAATCAAGCATTGAGAATGGATTATCAAATACTACCAAACGATCAATCAAATGGTATGGTCGTTTGTGGATTTTTAGTAGTGGGGAGCCAACTTCACACAGCTGCAGATGAGGCAGCTGAGCAGCTTATGTGATGCCTTACTTGATTATTAATAAATAAGCATACAATTATTATAGTTTAAATGTAACAAATTTATTTGTACAAATAGATACACTAAAGAAATTAAACAAAAATATAAGGATTTTATGCGCAAGTTACTGTAAATGTAAAATTCAACAAAATTACGCCTAGTACGTATAGACGTTCGCGGGCGAATAAGATAAAATTATTGCGCTTATAGAGGCACAGCATACACGGCATGATGGAGGAAGAGAACGTCGTGAGACCTCATCAGGAAATGGCCAGCCTGACGGGTCAGGACAAGAAATATCTTCTCGCCGTCGAGCGCGGAGACGTGGCTACCGTCAGAAGGTCAGTTGAAATTTATGGTTAAAAATTTATGGATATATCGTTGACTTTCTTATTAGCAGAAAAGAAACACACACACACGTACAGAACAAAAAATGAATTTCTTGGTTAACGTGTACTTTATTTTTAAGACTATAATTTCATTTACTTAATTTAACATCGACGGATGCACCGCGAAATTTTTATAACGTAAAACTCCAGGCAGATTGCCGGTTTTTAATAGCCCGGGAATATTGCGTGTATATATATATATATATATATATATATATATATATATAAATGTTATATTTATAAAGAGAGAATTATCTTTTCCTCCGCCTCTTTTTTCCCTTCTTTCTTTTTATTTAATATACTATATATATAAGAAAAAAGAGACGGAGGAGAAGGTAATTCTCTCTTTATAGACATAACATTTTTATTTAAGCAAAGAAATAGCTTATTTATAAACGAATATGCATAGAACATGAGTTTTAGCTTGTTTGCACACACGCGTATCCTCTTACAAGCCTCTCTATCTCTTTATTCTTTCGTTTCTTCGCGAATTAAGGGTACGATTATCGTACAGCCTCGTTATCCTAACAGAGCTATTATAAGAAATGCGTGGACACGTGCGCACGCATGCACGTGCTGGCGAAAATAGGTAATTGTGTCGAACGTGGGATTTGTGTCGTGCGAGCAGGTATATCTAGCGACAGAAGAGGAGAAAATTCTTTCGTAAAGAAAAAAAGAAGGAACACGAGCTAATGTCAATAAACTTTTCCAAGGAAGTTGACTGTGTTGCAACGTTACGTGGAAATTTTATTTTACTTGAACTTTCTGGAACAAGTCTTATTATAGTTTATGACGCTAATGTTCATTTCTACCGATATAGATTAACTATAATCTTGGTTTAATTTACTCCTTGCCTTCTTCTAACTCTTAGAACACCGGAAGAAGAGAAAAAGTAAATTAAATCGAGATTAAAGTTACTCTATCTTTGTAAAAACAGGCATAATTCGACTTTGACATGCGTGTTTTACAAAAATATATTGTATTACACTTATCATCATGTAATATTACTTAATCTCATTATCGCAAAGACGTTTCAGTATCTAAAAATGCAAAACGTATAAAAGAATTAAGACAGCCTTTAAATTGTTCTCTCAGTTTCTTATTAATTAATTCATACCGTGCCTAACATTATTGCGCAAAATAATTTGTTACTGTGCCGTATCACATTCTCGAAATGTATATGAGCTCCCGCCGGTCGTGTGATCTTCTAATTATCTTATGAAAGCTTGCTCGCGCGATTTCGAAACTTTCAGGAATTCTCTCTGCTATGCTCTCATGTTAGCGTAATTGAAACTGATTGCTATCCATGATTAACTTCTCACTCTCGCGAAATTCCTTCGTTATAACTTAAAATTTGACATCACTGTTCTGTGATTTTGACAAAACACATTTGACAAAACAATCCACTTGAAAAAGACAGGTTTCTCTGTAACTTTCGATAGCTATATTATCAAATAAATTTATTAAGTTATACAAACTCCCTCTCAAAGCTATCGGATTTTCTTTGTACTACAAATTCTTTACTGACTTGGAATAAAATTTTCCTTGAAGAGCATTTATAGTTTTTCGAATAATTAACAAATAAAAACATGGAATTTTTAATAAATTAAGTTTCAGAAGAAAAGTAAATGATAAAATTATATTATACAAATTCAATATATTATACAATTCCAAGTAGAATCTAATAGAATTTTAATTTGAAACATATTAGAAATATGTTTCAATGCTAAAAATAGAAGAGATCCGATAAACGATATTTATTTCGCTTGATATCGTTATTCCGAAAAATTATTCTTTAAACCGTGAGAGTTCGCTAGAAAGATATCCGGTAGTTTTTCTATGTATGTTTGTACCTACAAATTCTAAACGGTAATTCATCAATCTTCCGAAATACCCTGTCACTGCAGAATGCTCAACAAAGCCCACGAGGACAACATTAACGTTAACTGCGTGGATCCTCTCGGACGATCGGCTCTCCTCATGGCGATCGATAATGAAAATTTAGAGATGGTGGATCTTTTAATACAGCACAAGGTCGATACCAAGGATGCGCTCCTTCATGCCATCTCCGAGGAATTCGTTGAGGCGGTGGAGGTTCTTTTAGAGCATGAGGAGACCCTTCACAGGAACGGCGAACCACACGTAAGTGTCTATATTCACATCTTTTACTGAATAAGAGTAAAAGAGAGAAAGAGAGAGAAAGAGAAATATATAATCATTCTATAATATAATTTATTAATCAGCTTTATTTAATTTAAAAAATGTAAACATTTTTTATAACATTGAAATTATATATTCCTTGTTTGTACATTTTAATTAATAAAAGCCAACGATACTGTAGTAGTTTGCAGACCGCGTTGTCTAACTGAATAATAATCTCGCAAAACTTTTACGTGAAATATATGTGAAATAACGTACCTACATTCTAGTTTTACGATCGAACTTTACGTCGCATCGTGGTGTATCTGTAGCAGCATAAACTAGCGCGGGCGAAGTAGGTAAAATATGTAGATAAAAGCTGATTGAAGCCCGTAAATCGATTACTCGTCGTGTCGGTTGCCCCACAAAACGATTTTTCCGTACTTTACTCCGACATCAAGTGGTCTCTCCATCTCCGTCATAAAGACAAAATCTGTCAAAGTATAAAGTCATTCGCGACGGCAATGCGGTAAATCTGGGGGGTAGGCAGGAGAGCGCGGGAACGAGCTTGCAAGGGTGCGGGGGGAGGGAGGAGAGAAAAACGTAAAAGAATACGAAATTTCGAACAGAGCTCTCTAATCGGCTTTAGCAAGAGAAATCAGCTTACGCGGAACTTCAACGGAATGATATTCGGAGTCCGAAAGGGATGGGCGAATTCATTATATGGGGAGAATTGGTTCCCCGTGAAGAAAGGGGCTACCACCCGTGACGATGACTGATTAAGCCGATCAACGCTGGCTACAATATGGCAGCGCGAGTCTGCACTAAAGGGGAGATCATTTGTCGATTGCTTACGCGAAAAAAAAATTCTTTATTTCGATAAATCGACTTATTGATCCACTTCATCGTCGAGTCATCATTGGCATTTGGCATTATTTTATCGGAGGCTCGTTAAAAAGACACGTTACAATTGAGATCAAGTGTCAATTGTACTCGACGAAGTGGTAACTGCAAGAGGCGACTTGTGGATGATAATTTTAGACCGCATGGAGTTAAATAAAAAAGACGCGAACAAAAGACTGTCGAGCGATTTTTATGAAAGTAATTAAGACAATTGCGGTTTAATTCTTTAGAGCTGGGAGGCTCTACCACCTGACACAGCCACGTTCACGCCCGACATTACGCCGTTGATCCTGTCGGCCCACAGGGACAACTACGAAATTATAAAGATTCTTCTGGATCGCGGATCCACCCTGCCGATGCCGCACGACGTTCGCTGTGGGTAAGAATCACGAAAATTCATTAAATTGTTCCCTGGAATTTTCATATAAATTACAACTCACACTGTACATCGTCTTGCACATTTTGCGCGGTTTATTCTTATCAAACTTATCAAATATTCAGAACGTTTTAAAGCTCTTGTACATCTTCGGGTTTTACACTCGCGATAAAAAAGTCGCGACTTTTATTTTAATAACGTAGCTTTCCCGAGATATCCTATTTAGTTATTAAGCAGAAGATGAAAGCGGATTACGGATAACGAAAGTATATAAATGCTTTACGCAGATATTGAACAATTCAGACACTTACCTCTTAACAAAGTTAACTTTTTTTTTTTTAATGTGTGTGTGACACAAGCATTAATTAATCTCTTTATAAGTGTGTTATAAAAAGTGACCGGTCGTTAATCCCTAACTAAGACCGCTCTTTTGGGGCTAATAATTAGTTACCTTGACCGGTTTATCGTCTTATCCCTTTGTGCAGGCGCGTCAAGAGCTAATTAAATTAGGCTAAGCGTACATGAGCGCCGCGTTACCGCCGCTCTCTAAGGGAAAATTTAATCTGTGTAATCACATTGCATTAAGCCTCGTAACTTTTTGTTTCATTATCTTACGCCGCGCATTGCGAAACTGCGGAAAATTTTATGAATCGACATAACTAAGCGATAAGCAAAGGAAGAAGTTTATATTACGTCGTAATATGAACTACGAGCGTAATGAAAACGATATCGTTCGCTCGGCTAAAACACACTCGTACGTAAGGGAGAGATAGAGTAGTTTTAAACACGAGGCAGTTTTGAACAACAATATTTTTCGTGGGTGTTTCGCGTGAAGAGGTGCCATTTTTCGGACAAAAGCTGCACCGAGTGCAGAGTACTTACATTCATCACCCATAGCGCGCAGCTTTTGTTCGAAAAATAACGTTCTCTTTTCGCTCCCGAAAATTTACGCGAAAAATATTATTTAAAGCCGTCTCTTTATACGTTAAAAACTATTTGTTTTGTTCATAAACTCGGGAGGAGAGCATAAAGCGAAATAGCGCGGGACCAACTTCCTCTCGATTCGAAAACTAGACTTCCCGTCGCGTAACACTCGAAACTTTGATAAAAGAGAACTCAGTTGGCGTAAAGGATGATGTAACGTCGCGAGACGGGCGGACACGGCCACACGGGAAATATTCGAGAAAACGGTGAACGCGCGCCGGGCAACTCAGCCACCGCGCGGGCCGTTTTCATCTCGGACTTATTGTTGCCATTTGTTATTTATTCCAGATGCGACGAGTGCGTGACATCGAGGATGGAGGATTCCCTGAGGCATTCGAGGAGTCGAATAAACGCCTATCGGGCATTGGCGTCGCCGTCCTTGATAGCACTGTCGTCTAAGGATCCCATCCTGACTGCTTTCGAGCTCTCCTGGGAACTTCGACGGCTTTCGTTCTTGGAGCACGAGTTCAAGTGCGAGTATCAGGCAAGAAATTGATGTTTCCCTATTACTCGTGAATATTACTGTTCGTAAACACAATATCGTTTTGTCCGCTGGATTTTTGCATATGAAATGCCGAATGTCGAAAGCTTTCGATTTTATCTATGCAACGTTTTATGAAACAAACATCGAATGACATGTTTTATTTATAAAAACATGCTTCATTTGCTGTAAAATGTTCCCGATTTTTCAACAGTAAATTGTAAATTACTTTTTCAGAAATTATTTGAAGATCGTGTGATTGAAATCGACATTTTACATATACAACAATCTAACAGTTATTATTTTTAAAAACAGAAAATAGTAATTCAATCTAATAGAAAGGGGTTTTTATTTTGTTTTAACGAATTTGTCGATTAATATTTTTGGAAAGCGTTAAACATATATTTTATATTGTATTTATTATTTAGATTATTTTTTATTTTATTTATATAGGTATATATAAATATATATAGATATTTATTTATATTAAAAAATATTTATATTTTATTATTATTTTTTTTATATAAATTTATATAAATTTTATTTGAAATGCACAAGAATGCAAACAATACATGCCTCTGTAGATACCTTGCATTTTTTTGAAAGCAGAGAAAGAAGTCAAAAAAGGAATTAAAAAAGGAAATATAAAAAAAATGTATAAATTTCTACCATGTTGAAATTACGTAATCACAGCTTTTTATATCATGAATTTATGGTAGTTAAATAATTAAAATTCTTCAAACGACTCGCTGGCTTTTCAAGCTGCGAATTAAGACACACGCGTTGCTTCTCTCGACGATGCTTCTTCCTTCCAGCGCAGCGGTATTCGCGAAACAAATTTATCTCGGTTAGCGAGACACGGCAGTTAACACGTGCTTTCCTTAATTCAGCGGTCGTGCAGATGTACATACGTCCGCGCTTTCCTTTCGTCGTCCCTTTCGACTCTCGAGCATGAGAGCTCGAGAGAAAGCGCGTTCCACTCTCGCGAAAGCTCCACGTTAGCTTCTCTCTTTCCCGCCTCTTTACGTTGCTTAAGTGGCGAAAGTTTAAGTTGCTCACCACGCTCGAGCAACTTTTGATTTATACGCGCATAAATCGCATTTTGCAGTAGCAATACACCGAGCAAGCGGCGTGCTATCGAGTTGCTTTATAGTTTCCCTGCCACGCCCTTTGTTCCTCCCTTTTCTCAGCCTCATCAACGTTCCGGTTTCCTCTTCGACCCTTTCTCATACCCTTTCCAGCCTCGTTTCTTTGACCCTATGTTCCTCATTCACCCACTTTTTCTTTGGAAAACTCCGCCTTTTTGCTCCCACTTTGCTGTTGTGTCGTTCCCCCCAGCACTTTCAAGTGTCGATCTTGAGGTACGGCTCGATGAAGACGACTTCGAAAGTAAAGTGAATGGAAGCTTGATAAATTGCCGTGAATCCTTCCCCGTTTTTTTTCCATTCTTTCCTCGTTTTATCCTTATTTGTTCTTTTTTTTTTCGAAGTTAATTTTATTTACACTTTAAACGTATGTTATTATTATATATTATATTATTATAATATTATAGTATTATATTATATATTTTTATATTATATATTAAATACGTCGGTTGAACTATATTGAACTTTATATAATATATGTATTTGCATACGTTGGAAAGAGACATTTCTCGTGTTGCGAGGAAACGTCGAGTGGCACGTTAAATATCATACATATCTTCGCGTCCCACAAGATAATTCCAGTTTACGACATTGTCGGGCTGAAAGGCCCGTGACTTGATGTTGCAGACAATTTGAAGTAACGATGGTCTTCTCCAGAGATAAGAAATGTGTAACCTTACAATCACGTCTGTTACTCACGTTCGGTTGCTCTTTGGCTTCTCTTGTATCACACACACACACACACATATATATAGTATATATCGAACTGTAAAAAAAAATAACGAGGTGCTCCGATCGAGGGAACGATTTTTCAAATGATTCGAGGGTCGAAAACTCGTACTACTCGAGACGCGAAATGTTTGGAAAGATAAATTCTCAACCGACGGGCGATGTAAATATTTGCCCGGCGGTCGATAGCGAAAATAGATTACAGCCGAACGATTTTCTCGTCACCTTTGCCTTTTTATATGAAACGCCGAGGTACAACTTCCCGCGGCGATTCTCGGTTTACGTCGACTAACAATGCGGGACACATCGCGGAGACTGTTATATCCGCGTGAGTACGTGACGAGAATTAAATTGAATTCGTGGCAAGATTGGCGAACGATTAGGATAGAATCTCGGGCGCTTGTCGACCTTGCAGAAAGCCTGGAAGTTTCGATCATCTCGCTGTTGGCTTTGTCGAGCGCGCGTATTCTTTCTCGGCAATTCGCGGCAACGTGAGAGGCGACAATCCGTGGAGAATCCACCGAATATTCCTGATATTTCTCTAGGAATATCAGGAATAGCGAGAAATTGCGACCGAGAATTACGACCGAAATTAGGAGAATTATTTTCGAGCGTGCTTAGGAAATTAGATGCCTCTCGGAGGTAGAGCGCATTTTCGAAATTGCATGTTGGTATTGTGATCAACACCAACCGTTATCGTCGTCGTGATTTCAGGAGCTCCGGAGGCAGTGCCAAGACTTCGCGACCGCATTGCTGGACCACACTAGAAGTTCCTATGAGCTTGAAGTCCTGCTGAATCACGACCCAACGGGACCAGCTTTCGAGCACGGAGAGAGGATGCATCTTAACCGCTTAAAATTAGCCATTAAGCTGAGACAAAAGAAGGTACGAAGTGCAAGCGAAAGCGAAATAAACCCCATTTTTTTACTATTATTAATTATACCCGATTATTAGATACAGATTTTTGTTGTCTTTGAAATCCCTCTTTTGCAACTACAATTACGTAAATTTTGTAAAGATTTAAATAGTCATTTTTCAAATCAAATTTATCGGAAAGTTTTTCACAATTTCAAGCGTACATATAATATGACAATTATATCGTAAATTTATCGCTAATATGTTACATTTGTCCAACTTTTGGAACATTATTGACGCGGGGACAATCGAGCTTTGATTGAACGAAGGAACAGAGAGACGCGGGTCGTTCGTTAGTGATAATTAGGGATGACATTTGGAAGATAGGTAATTGCAGTTCGAACTCTCTGATTGCGTGTGAGAGGCTGCCACCTTCTCCCCAGTCGCATGACCGGAAACCGGCGGTCAATATCGCCTGGATATTTCCAGTTCGTGGCGCATCCTAACGTGCAGCAGCTACTGGCATCGATCTGGTACGAGGGTCTGCCGGGGTTCCGAAGGAAGAACATGTTCCTGCAAGCGCTGGAGATCGTCCGAATCGGCGTCCTCTTCCCGTTCTTCAGCGTAGCGTACATCATCGCGCCCCACAGCATGGTCGGCCAAACCATGAGGAAGCCGTTTATTAAGTTCATCTGTCATTCCGCGTCGTATTTCACTTTTCTATGTAAGTACCGCCTTTACCCCCTACGGGATAAATATATGTTATACGATGTAATTCCATTTAAGTGAGGTCTATAGCTTTAGGAGTTGCGACTTTTAAATCGCGTGTAAAGCGACCTTTTCATCCACCAATTGTGTCAAAAGAAAAAAACTGAAAGGTAGAGATTCAAGATAAACGAATCGTTACGCCAACGCGTGCGAAACGCATGAAACATTTCGACAACAGGCCGGATCGTTTCACACCCAGGGCGATTTCATGTCACGCTTTAAATCTAACCACTTGGCACGACATCCGGCCGTAACCTGCCATTTCCTATATTGTTCGCTGCACTTGATCAGCGTGACCCAAATATCCGGTTCATTCCGGAAATATCGGTGGCACCGCTGAATCAGCTTGATACGACCATTCTTACAAACATCTCTCTTTCCGGTCCCCAATTACGGCGCAGCACGAAATAGTGTTCTTTTTCCGAAGTCGATGCACGAAATCGGAACAGTAATGTCTAATCGGTGCATGAAAATCATTTCGTATAATCGCACCTTGTTGTAACTGATTCAAAAAAACGGTGGCCTTCCTCGATTTGTGATGTTGGGAAAGTCAATATATCAAAATCGGTACAATATATAATATTTAATTTAACTTTAATTTTAAAATTTTATTTTTTATTTTTCCAATTTTTGTAAAAGTTCTCAAAAATCTGAAAGTCATTTTTCCTTGAAAATTTTGGGATACGCGCTTATATCTTTTATTATCTTAAATTTTCTCTCTCTTTCTGTCGCGGCACTTCATTAATTTGTGACACAATTAAACCTTCGCTCTACTATGTTTTATCTTGGTAATCAGCTAATTCCGCGAAGTAATTTTTACACGAAACTAACAACACGTGAATCTTGCTTTTGCGAGCAGCTAAATTTCCTATCTATTAAAGAAGAACAATTATTTGATTGAATACATTTTTATTTGATTTACGGAATACGAATATTATTGGATCGTACAGATAAAAAAATCTGCTTTATTTTCAAGTAGCATTTCGAACAACAAAAATAGAATATGATTTAAAAAATATTTTCGAGATAAATAAATCTTTATGCTAACGCATGCGAGACGCATAAAACATTTCGATAACAGGTCAGATCGTTTCGCACTCCGGGCGATTTCATGAATTACGCTATAATTCATATTTTTGTTGCCTCGAATAAAAAATCATTTATATAATTTTATTAGAATCAAAACTAGAGAGTGGGAGGAATCTATAAAAAAATCTTATTGTTAGAAATCTTAAAAACCTGTTTTTAGTTTCACATTTCGGACTAAATTTCGTATATTAATATCCATTTTTTTGGTTGACCTTTTTCCTTCGTACGAAATTTATGTTTTAAATTGTTCCTGTAATTACGCTGTTTTTAATTACGTTTTTAATATTATGCGAATTTCCGAATTTTTTAAGTTCCCAGATTCATTATGACTTGAAATAGCGCAAAATTATTGTAGAATCTCCACAAAATGAACATATTTGAAGAAAGAATCGCTTTGACGAGATAATAATTATTATCAAAAAAAGAGAAAGAGAGGAAAGCGATATATTTATTTCGTAAACTGAAGATTTTCGGAACTTCATGTGCAATGATCGAATAATTTCACATGTTTACGATATCCAGTATGACTCATCCTGCGAAAGTATTCGCGGAAAAGTGAGCGACACGCATCTCGAACAGCATTTCCTACGGCGTATTTAACTTCCCGGCACGTTGGCAGATCAAACATCTACACGGCGAACGTCAAACAGTTTGCAAATACCTTTCGGTGCCGCCACCAATAATAGTCGTGCACTAACGTGCGGAATTCGGACGGTTAAGAAGCATTACTGCTCCCCCGAGATTAATTGCTCACTCGAGTGATACATCCTTGGCTATCCAGCACCATCATCGATTATGCATTTGCACCATTAACACGGAAAATTCTGTTTGGATATCTGCTACAACCGATTTGTATCTGAAATGTAGACACTTACTTAGCATCTGAAGGGATTTTTATAAGAGGAGCCGTTCTTTCCGTCGCAGTACCCTGACTTCTAACGTTAAATGCCGGGAGATATTAAATCGCGAATTAAATCTCTGCCGAAATGAATTCCATCTCAACTGAATCAAGTCGCACGATCTATCATCACCGTTACGACCCTTACGACTTCAAATTACGACTGTTCTGAATTTTTAACGATGATGAATGCGCATAATTTTGCCTGCGCAGTCATGTTAATTCTGGCCAGTCAGCGGATAGAAAGCGTGATCGGTAATTGGATGGGGCACGATGTCGTGGAGCAGGAAGAATCAACGCCGACGAAAAGAGGTGCCTCACCGACGATCGTGGAATGGTAAGGTCCTCTCCTACCATTTTTCACGCTCGTATTCGCACGTTGCGTGTTATTATTCGTTCAACTCAACACCACGTGTTTCGTAATATCGCGTCGAGGATATAGCGAGGGAAGTTTTTAACGCATTGGAAGGGAGGGGGTGGGGGAGGGGAGGAAGGGTGATACAAGCAATTTTGATATGGAAAATTGTAAAAGTGAAAAAAAGAGAATACGTAAATAAGACGGAAGAGAAGTAAAGCGGGAAAGGCTGGGGTAAAATCCATGTAATATCTACCGGCTTATGGCACTCTCCCGTTCGTGCGGAAGACGGTAATATATAGAACGTAGAAGCGTTACACACACAGTAAGTCGGTGGTAAACGAGATAAACCCGGGAGACGCGCGTGCAATCTCGAAGGGGAAGGTTCTCTTTTTTTCCTTTCACGTTGACGAGATCGAAATGAGGTGATCAAGACCTGTCATATCGCAAATTTATGTCCGCGTTTAATTTGGCATGTTATTAATAAGATGTCACCGAGATTCTGCCTCGGCGTGCGAAAATAAATCAATAAGGAAAAGCGCGTGCCATCGTAATAGAGCGGAAGAGTGAAAGAAGTGAAAAAAAGTGACAAAAAAAAATGGGACGAAAGATGCTGAAAAGGTGCTAATTATTCGAATAAATTTTGGACGACGTCGATCGATTTCGCGAGGCGTGAAATTCGTTGATGAATAAATTACGCGGGCAGGCGCGACGATGAATAAATTTGGCGTGCCGCGTCTTTTGTCTCTACGAACCTCCATTATTAAAAAATAGTTCAACTATAATTAAGTGCTCATTTATTGCTTATATATTGCTTTAGACCGTTTAAACGTGAATTTATTGCTCCTACCCATTCGCAAGAAATTAATATCAAAAGTGCGGGCGCTTCACGTTGTGCTAGCATCATCGCACTCCTGATGGAATATTTTTCGCACGTTAAGTCAGCACCCTCACTTTCGATATTAACTTTCTGCGAGTGAAAATAAGAGCAATAAATTAGCAGTAAATGATGACAATTAAAGGCATATACATATATAGTTGAACTTTTTTCATTGGTGGAGGTACTAGAGTTCCTAGAGATTCGCATATTTTTCGCTCGGAGATCAGATTAAACCGGAATGACAATTGGAACCGCAGGTTTATATTAGCCTGGGTGTCGGGACTGATCTGGTCGGAGGTGAAACAATTGTGGGACGTGGGCCTGGAGGAGTACGTGAACGATATGTGGAACGTGATCGACTTTGTAACGAACTCGCTGTACGTAGCCACAGTGGCGCTCAGGGTGGTAGCTTACTACAGGGTACAAAAGGAGAACGAGAATCAGGCGCCGGGATCGGTGATAGAGCTGCAGCGTGAGCAGTGGGACACTTGGGACCCGATGCTCATCTCCGAGGGACTCTTCTCCGCCGCCAACATCTTCAGGTAATAAATCGCGTGCGCGCCGATCTCGTGCATCTCCGTCGTCGATGTACACGAAGCTCAGAGGCGGTGGGGGGGGGGGGGCGGGACGCGCGATCGCGATAAGCCAGAGACACGATTAATCTTCGCACCGTGCAGATCTTATGAACGCCGCAAAGTAAATCTTTTTATTCTCTCACGGCGCGGCCGCGCCGAGATAATAAAACGGATTATGATGCATCGCGATATCTCTCAATTACGATCTCCGTGCAGCTGCGATAGCTTTGAAAATTTATGCGAACGCGTTTGAAACGTGCCGCGAATGCGAATGAGACCAGTGCGTCGCGCTTAAAGTGCAAATGAATCTTTGATTACATCGGAGGGTCCAGTATAGTTGCGCGGCATAACGTGAAAGCCGGGGCGGGAAAGTTAACTTAGGAAATTGCCGACACTTCAGTGTTATCTGGATTAAAAGGCAACGAATAATGTCGCATTGCAGCTCGCTAAAGCTCGTCTACATATTCTCCGTGAATCCTCATCTCGGACCGCTGCAAGTCTCCCTATCGAGGATGGTCATGGACATTATGAAATTCTTCTTCCTCTACGTGCTCGTTCTCTTCGCTTTTTCATGCGGTAAATCGGATGAAAATACCACAATAAGATATATACGCGCAAGACGAGAGGGCTAACCTAAAGAGGGGAACGTTTATTGTAGGTCTCAATCAACTTCTCTGGTATTACGCCGACATGGAGAAGAAACAGTGCCCCTCGGCGATGCCGTATTCGGCTAATGTTAGCGCCACCAATTCCGACCCGAACGCATGCACCGTTTGGCGCCGATTCGCTAAGTACGCAATGACTATTCTTTTACGTGAATATTTGCTTCTTGTAAAAAATATATGGAACTTTTAAAAAAGTTAAATTTTTACCTTCAAAGTAAAAGAAAACAAATAAAAATTGATATGTTACTTTATAAAGCAGATCTTATAGTTATGACATAAAATTGACAAATATTATATACATATAGAGTCTTTTTATTATTTTACGTTATATTCTTGTGTGCTTTATTATTCCTACGATCGATTTCGAATAATACATGACATGAATTTCGCGGGCAGTCTGTTTGAGACAATACAAACGCTCTTCTGGGCGGTTTTCGGCTTGGTGGACCTCGACAGCTTCGAGCTGGACGGCATCAAGGTGTTCACCAGGTTCTGGGGCATGCTGATGTTCGGCACTTACTCGGTTATTAACATCGTCGTCCTCCTGAATCTCCTAATCGCCATGATGAATCATTCCTATCAACTAATCTCGGTAAGTGCAGTGTATCTTCCGCGAAATTTATTCGCAAGAGAGTTATCGCGTATACGTGAGGTACAATCCAATTAAAAACCGAAGAGAAAAACGAGAAGAAAATAAACCCTTGTAAGCTTTGCCCGTGTTAAATGTCGCATTAAATGGATTGATAATACGATGAGAGGCGACATTTATTCTCAGTGAGAAAATTAACCAAAAAAAAAAAAAAAAACGAGAGCGCGAGATCCTTGAAATGCTGGAAACGACGTCGAAAACACGCGGACTGAAATCGTACCTCGCCGTACTTTTCGCATTTATAATTAGCCGAAACTAATTAGCGGAGTGATTCGCTGCTCGTAATTAGGAACGGGCCGACGTCGAGTGGAAGTTCGCGAGGAGCAAGCTCTGGATCAGCTATTTCGAGGAGGGCGGTACCGTTCCGCCACCGTTCAACATCATACCTACCCCGAAGAGCGCCTGGTACGTCGCGCAGTGGGTATATCGGAAGCTCTGTGGACATAGCAGGGCGGCCAAGAAGGAGCACATGCGAACAATCAGGGTAGGAACGACAGTTCACGGATTTTCGCGAGACTTAGAATAGGCATCTCCGCGACGCCCTTGCGAGAAAAATTCCCCGAAGAATCGATCCCTCCTTCAATTTTCCCTGAACCTGAAATTTTATCGCTTGGCACAATGCGAGGCGAGCTGCAGAATAAGATGTCAAAATGCTGGCGTATCGCTAGGGGGATTTGCGCGAGGGATATTGAAATACATATTCTATCGTGAGGGATGCTTTTTACGAATTTCTCCGGGGCTTCTTTTTTTTGGGGGGGGATTTTAAAATTAGGTTCTTATGCGGCAAGAATATTTGGTGCGGAATTCCAAGTGTCAGAAGAGAAGTTTGCGCGTCTTTTTTTACAGAACTCGCAAGGGATATTAAATCCCGAGAAAGTTTAGCCGTTATTAGTCGCAACCGTGTTATGCTACATATCTACAGATCGTAGCATAGGTGTATGTATATACAAAGTTTTTCAGACTTACGAAGTTTTGTCTACAAATTTCTCGAAGGGCTCAGAAGCAATTTTCAAAAACGAGGAATCCTCTTATCAAGTTAAAAGATTAAAGATAAAAGCTTCTTAAATGTAACAAAGTCTTGTGCGCATTATTTAATTTTATTGTTTAAAAATTTTTAACTGTAATCGTTATACAACTTGATACATTATTTTATATATGTACTTTGAAATAATTATTTTTAGGTATATAATTTAAAATAAATAGCAACGTTCGACATATTTGCTTGTATAAGGGAACGTTCGACGTATTTGCTTGTAAGGGAAAATTTAGTACATCAATAAGAATCCGCGATCCGTTTCGACAAATCTGGGACGTGCCATATAAAGCGTGTCGTAACGTGCACCTTATATATATAACGCAAACTTTTGAAGTTGAAGGGCTTTCAATTATTTTCGATTCTTGTCTCAGCGAAAGGTCAAACAAGCTTCCGAGCGGGACTTCAGGTATCAGAGTATCATGAGAAATTTGGTAAGACGATACGTCACCGTCGAGCAACGTAAGGCGGAAAGCGAGGGCGTCACGGAGGACGACGTGAACGAGATCAAGCAGGACATCAGTGCGTTTCGCTGCGAGCTTATCGAGATACTGAAGAACTCCGGCATGAACACGTCGAATGTAACGAGCAGCGGTACCGGTAAGTTGAAACGAAAAGTGAAAAGAAAATAAATTGCCTTGCCGTGTATATATATATATATACATATATATATACATATCCTGCATGAGTAGCATCGATTTCACTTGCACAGTGTGTTTGCTGGCGTAAGAGTTAAGTGTATGTACAGCGGATATTGATCGCAAGTGTTTTTCAATTTTCTTTGAAAGGAACGGATTTCCGTTTAGTCGAAACAATATTGTTGTACGATTTATTTCCGTGAAAACGAATATCCCGTGATATGCACGAGCGGAATAAAATTTATTAATCCTCTCGTCTCGCTCTCGAAGGCGCGCGTAATTAAATGGTTTTTGTTTTGATGCCGAAAAAACGAAGCATACGTTTCGTCGCGGCGACGAACGGCGATGTGCTCCCGACGTTAACGATGAGAATTATAGGGAGCGACGACGGTTGTTGCCGGTAATCCGCAAATTGTTAATCGCGTCACGTGGAAGCGTCGAAACTTCGAATTTAACTCCGCGATTCTGCTTGGGGAATACCAATCATTATTTTATCCGCGGTAACGCTCGCAAGCATTAGTCGCCGAGCAGGGATAACCCCTTGTAATTCGAAGCTAAAGAAAGCGCCATTAATCATCCCAACTTTCGGGGCTAATTACTCTAATTAAGAATTTGCCCGATGACTTTCTCCACGCCGGCTTAAATTTCCAATTCGCCGTAACGAGAAAATGCGTAGAATAATTAAACGCCTTACACGCACAAGCTTTGCATAAATAAATGTTATCGTATTAATTCAGTTTATATTTTCTCTCTTTCTCAATTCTATGCTTAGCCAATAGCTACAATCGTTAGCCTCACGTATATCCAAATTAATTTTTACAACTTTTTGTAAGTTTTTATTTTTACACAAGCTGCATGTTGTAAAAAAGAAAAAAGTTTTGCATCGGATAAGGAATTTTAGGAAGCACTGCAGAAGCGTAGAAGATATTTTTTTATTCGCTAACAAAAATTAAAAAAGTTTAATATTTTTTATTGAATGTAGCGAATATAATTTATTTATATTTAAGTCTATTTTGATCTATTTAAGTGTTATGATTATTTCAGAATGTTACGTGACTTTAGACGCCTTCTTGTTTTCTCGTATTTCTTAGCCATTTAAGTTCTTTTGAGTTTTTTTAGTAGATCGCTTGAGGCTGCTCGTCGATTTTTTGTTTGTCCCCTAGACGGTAGCCTTAAAGAGCTGTCCGTAGGTGCGGGTGGCAAGAAAAACCGCCAGAAAGAGCGGCGTTTAATGAAGGGTTTCAACACGTTCAACATCGGGCCGCAGTCCGGGTCGGGTGGAAGCGTCCTGGAGCCCGTGGACGAGCTCTTCCTTCAACAAGTGCAGCATGAGAACTCTCATCATGAATTATTTGGCTCAACTCTGAGCGGCATATTCGGACCGAGCGCGACCGCGAAGAAGAGCCCACATCACATCAGCACTAACAGCGTGCCCGGGCTGGCGAGCGGGTCGCGACAAGTCCACGGCGCCAGAAGTAGCTCGCGGAAGAAGCGTTGGGGCACTCTGATCGAGGCCGCGAAAGCCGGAAGAGTCTCCAGATTGATCGGTAAGTCGACGATTTTTTCGCATTAATATTTAAACTCAATATCCGTGATATAATATTTCGTAATTCATTGAACAAGTGCGCGAATGTAAGGTATAGTCACTAGTAGTACGTCCTTTATAATTGAATCATGAATTATTACTTTAACTGTTTCGTAACTTCTAAATTACATTTACTTAAAGTTACGAAAATATTTAAATACTAATAAGTAAAATGAAGAAGATAGAAGATAGAACAATTTTTTTATATTGTATTTAGAGATGTAAAAAAAACATTTTTTTTCAAATAGAAAAAAACATTATAACAAAAATGTTTTATTTCATTGAAAAAATACAAATTTGGTTTTTTTTCTAATTCCGATAGCACGAATAATTAATTGTAAATAGTAATTACATAATTATATAATTAATTTTAATGTGATCTACATTTAACTTTTACAAAAGGAGAATCTTTTTAATTCTTTTTCTAAACAGCTTTTCCTTAAGTAGAATTTATTATAATTATTCATAAATTATTATTGAAGTCTTTGCTTCAAAATATGTTTCAAAATCAATTATTGGCAATTCAATAGACAGTTGAAAAAAAAACAAAATTTTGAAAAGAAACGAGGCTTATGTTTTTTTTTCTTAAAAAAATGTATTTTTTATATTACGCGTGAATGCCTACGCGTTGCGATTTCCCACGCGTTGCGATTACCCACGCGTTGCAATTGGCCACGTTGCAATTGCTCACACGTTGCAATTGACCACATTGCAATTGCCTATGTTTACAATTAGCCACGTTGCGATTGACCAAAAATAAATTGACAAAAAATACAAATTTGGTTTCTTTTCTAATTCTGATACCACGACTAATTAATTGTAAATAGTAATTATATAATTATATAATTAATTTTAATATGATCTACATTCAACTTTCATAAAAGGAAAATCTTTTTAATCCTTTTTTTAAACAGAATTTATTACAATTATTCATTGAAGTCTTTGCTTTAAAATATGTTTCAGAATCAATATATTGGTTTTCTCGTTTTGAAGGTTAAAATGATGATAATTTAAATCTACTATCTATAAAATAAAAAATCATTAAAAAAATTATAACTTATATTAACCAAAATATAGATATTAAATAGATAGCTAAAAAAAATTTTTTGAGAAAAGAACGAGGCTTATGTTTTTTAAAAAAAAAACGTATTTTATGAAAAAAAATTTGGTTTTTTTCTATTTACATCTCTAATTGTATTCTTAAATTGAAACATGTTATCGATATATTTTTTATGATTCTTTATCTTCCCTGATTAGACTATTGTAGATTCTAGTAATGTTGTAAGAGATGCGATTTGCTTCTCTTTTTTATATAAAATTATCTTATTTAAATGGAATGATTGAAGTTACTTTATGAATAAGCGAATGTCGTTTTTCTCTTCCCCAGGTAGATCTCGTTCCGAGGACTCTGTATACTCGCCGGCGTCCGAGGACGGCGGCTCGCGATCCGAGGGCTCCTCGGACTCGAAGTCCTCCTTGGAGGGTGCCGGTCACGATGTACAAAGCGCCCAGCATTCCCAGCATCACTCTCATCACGCGCATCATCCAGCGCATCAGGAAGCGCATCACGGGTTTACCCACGGCCTGGGCCCGGCTCTGGCCGCCCTGAGGAGGAAGCGCAAGAAGTTCTCCGCCTCGAGGTTGTCCACGCCCGCGATGACCAGCAGCACCAACACGAATCCCGCGGAATCGAGCGCGATGTCCTCAGTCGCCACCGTCCTGGCGGCCAGGATAGCCGGACCCTCGAAGAAGCAGCTGCAACGCGCCAGCAGCGTGCCCACCCGCGGCCCCGAATTAACGCCGCAGTCGTCAGTAATGTTGGCGCGACGGCACGAGGTCACGCAGAGCCAGCAGCCCAGTCTCGACGTCGTCGAGATCACCAACGAGCGTATCAACGCGCAGCCAGGTGAACCGATATTATTATCCGCGGTGTTATTTCACGAGAGAGAGAGAGAGAGAGAGAGAGAGAGAGAGAGAGAGAGAGAGAGAGAGNGTGTGTGTGTGTGTGTGTGTGTGTGTGTGTGTGTGTGTGTGTGTGTGTGTGTGTGTGTGTGTGTGTGTGTGTGTGTGTGTGTGTGTGTGTGTGTGTGTGTGTGCGCGCGCGCGTGTGTGTGTGTGTAGGATGAACCAATTATGACGTGCATTATCGTGCGTATATCTATCGTGCATTATCTGTTCGCCACTTGGTTTGAGTAATTATTCGAGCTCGTAAATAGAATATATTGTAATTAGAGTAACGAAATATGTGTAAAAATTTAAAACTTTATTTAAACTTATGTCTATACAATTTTTTATTAAATTTAATTAAGATTGAATTTTTACTTATAAAAATTTCGTATGCATTAAAATTTTTCTTTTTAATTTGTACTGTTATTTTTATTAAATATGATATTTATAGACAGAACAAAATTTACACTGCCATTCTTGTTTTTCTTTCCTCCTTAGGGGTTGTTCCACTGACGCCGTCGACCACCGAGGAGAGCGTGGTGGCGAGTGGCTCAACGTCGAACACGGCGAAGCGAAACGGATCGGCGACGCAGCTGCAACGTCTTCCTGGCATCGAGCCGATTTCCGGCCACGACGTGTCCACCGGCTGGCTCTGAGGAAACGGAAGTGCCGCCGACGGGCGGCAGCCAACCAGCTGACACAGGAAGCACCAGTCGGAACTCAGCTTCGAGCTTCGTTTACAACGGCCATGAGGCTAGAACGACATCGACGACGATCGGTGGCGCGCATGCACGTAACGCACGCACGCGGCACGGATCGTCCCCGACGTCGGCAGACGCACAATGATGCCTTTCTCGCGACACGACGCGCCATGCCGATTAAAGCGTAAGAGCGACGTCGATCGGGAATCTCGAAGGAACCCTATCAGGATCTCTCTCATCCTCTTCCCCTCACCAGTCCTTTTACTACGGACACTTCTTCCAACAAAATAATGGCTCAAAATTGCACTTCGAGATTATTGGTACGTTATATTTATTATTTTCTATTTTATACATATTTATTTTTATATTCTTAATTTTGTACACGCGAAGAAGAGTTTCCACGAGAGTATTCTAGTAAATTTTTATATATTTTCTTTTCTTTCTTTAATTTGAACTTTTCTCGAGTAGTAGTTGTATATAAAATCACGTCGTTCGCACAATTACTATTGTTCAATTATTTTTGAGACTAGTAAGGACGAATTATGTATGATTGATCGCGGTATCTTCTCTCGCGACTGTCTTTGAGCGACGATCGACGGTAGATTGTACTGAGAATTACTACTATTACTACTACTGCCAGAACGGAAGTGGCATGTGTGAGTCGGCGGCAAATAGCCTAGTCAAACACTAGTCAGCCAGATCTCGTAACAGGAGAGGGTGAAAAAAAAACCGGCTATTATTATATTATATAAATTAAGGGACGCGACGAATTGCGTTACCTCAAATGTCAAACGGAGTCGGAAGTCGCGTCTTCAGAGAGCTGGTCTACTGAAGTGCGAGACTCGTTTAGCTTCTTAGCGATCCTCCCAAAGCGATCGTTTCTTCGACGATTTATTTCTTCCAAATACACTTATCCCACTCTAGTCACGAACTAATCGATAATCAATCATTGCCAACGGACGATTTCTTATTATTTTTTATTCTACGGTAGTTTAGAACGGCCACAAGCGCGCGCGCGCGCGCGCGCGCGCGGTGTTGAGAGAATCAATTATATAATAAACTCTTCCGTAAGACGTGCACGATAGATCGCGTGTGAAAGAGAGAACCGCTGGATCCTTAAAGTCTCTGTATTTCCGTAAAAAAAAAAAAAATGTCGATGTAGAATTAAACGTTCCGTTAATTGTAAGCTCGTATCTACTGACGAGTCGTCTTTTAACGATCCAACGCGCGACTCTCCGCCTATATATCTGGACTGTCCGAATGGCTAAATCTTTCGTTGACGCCAAGTCAAACTCGGCGAGTCAATGACGCCGAGAGAAACGATTCTCGCGGGGCGCGGAAGAGCAGGAACAAGTGGCACGACCAAAGAAACACGCCGGTAGTAACATTAGTCGAGTAGTGGCCTAAACGAGAAAGAGTCCTAGATATTACGTACTATTTCCTAGATATTACATGTATATGTACGTTAACAATAATTATTACTATCGTTAATGTGAAATACGAATCGCGCGATCAGCACCGCAGGTAAGTTCCTGAGGAGCAAGTCGCCCTGAGGGCACTGTCCAATTGCTCGCTCGCTTCGTCCCCCCCCCTCCCTCCCCCCTTCTTCTCCTATTCGTCATCGATCTTCTCGTGGTCTCGATAACGCCATAAGATATATATATATATATATATATATATATATATATATATAATCATTATTGAAGCGCTATATATTTTACCAAGCGGGTCAAACCGCCGAAAGGATATTTCTTTAAAGAAAATAGTCGACGCAAGGATCTGAACGAACTTTAATTAGGCGAGCTAATTAAGCGATTCAAGAGCGAAGGTAAATTTTTTAATAGGACTTACTCGAATTTAAGAAATTATGCAACGTTCCTCTGTAAAAGAATGTTTTATTGTTCAATAATTGATATTACATATAGAGAACTAGTGTATGATCTAAGAAAAGGGACAGTAATGTGACGGTTTGGCGCTCTTGGTAGATGTATAGTGATTTAGTCATTATACCACCTACGTGTATTATTTATATTGAGATTGTATAACGTAACTGTGTGAAACTAGATTTCCCAGTTGGTAGTAATTAGCGAATGTTTGTTGCGAAAGGAAAGGAGGGAAAAGAAAGGTGAACGAAACCGCAAGTGGAACTGATTTCAATAGGCGCGAGATTAAGAGCTCGGCTATTATTTTGAATAAAACGACAACGTCCTGCGAATCCAATCGAATTTTCTCTCACGGTTACAGACGTGTGAAAGTGGCGGAAAATTTTCTATTTGCTCGTGTTTCTATACATACTATCATCTGTGAGTTGCGTGAAAACGTACATACGTGTGTCACGCGGAAAATAATGGAAAAGCGTAGCGGCGCGTCGAGAAAGATCGGCTCGATTTTGAATGTTTTCCAAAGACAGCTGATCGTAATTTCGAGTGAATTATGAGCGCGATGAATTGCAACGTCGAAACAGGCGCGGATTAAGGATAACAGACGCGGCATTAATCGCTCGACGCAAACGTATACGTTGCTCGAGGCGACGTATCACATTTCGAAAACGTGCAGCTGCAAAAACGCGAGAATAGCGGGAGCATCAATTGGTTATCGAGTCCGCTCCGAATTTAATTTCAAGCGCGTTTTATCTACTTGTGTCACAATGTTAGCGAATTGTTTAAAAAAAAAAAGTGCAGACCCCTCTTCATTCTTTCCACCGTGTAGCAAATTTGATACTACGGTTAACCACCTCGTTTGATAAATACGATATTAATTTGCAAACGGACGCGGGGAGATTCGGATAAATAAAATTTGAACGGATACATTGCGAGGGACAAACGTTTCATCCGATATAAAGCAATTACGTCGACTCCGCGTTTTGTAATATCGATTGGGGAAATTCGATGGGAATCAGCAGGCAGCGAACGAAATGGCCATTAATAAAATATCACTTATTCTGATAATCCATTTATTTTCGTATCCAGCATTTTGTAGGAAGGATCGAACGCGAGCATAGTGTTTGTAACGCGATTAAATTCGAAAAGAGGCAAATATCGGCAATGGTGGACCGGCAGTAATGTACACTGATAGTCTATGAAGGCATCGATTAATATTAATTTGAATGTTCAACGTGGATTCACTTTGCGAAAGTGGAACGTGTAAAGTCGTTAGAGTATTTTCGTTTCCAATACACACGGATAATCGAAAATGTTTTTATAGCGATTAAATTAACGTTTTAAATAATTATTTCTTTTTCTTTCGTTGCCATTAGCGCTTCTCTGGCGTAATAAGAAGGAAATCGAAAACGAGCGGGAAAAAAGTATAAGAAATAATCAAATTGCGCACGGGACACAATAAATCCACGTTATGCATTCGTGTATATGGCTTAGGTCTCGTACGTTCTAAGATTAAAACTTTACAGAGATTTACCTCTTTGCAGATGTAATTAAACTATCTTTTTTTGACAGATCCTTCGCCTGAGTATTCTTTAATCTATACTACGTATATACCTATAGCTATTTAAATGCCGTCGAGTGTAGAGCTCTCTCTCTCTCTCTCTCTCTCTCTCTCTCTCTCTCTCTCTCTCTCTCTCTCCTCTCGATTCGTCACTTCTCGCTGAATTCGCACGGCGCCAGCTCGCAGCGGTAGCGACGGTGCAGCTTCTTCGGGCAGGGACGGCCGCCGTTTGCAGCCTCTCGCTGATCGCGCGCAACAGAACGTTATACAGAATGTTATTCACAGGGCGGAGAAAGGTCTCGTATAACAGTACGTTATTTACAAAAGCTCCGTGATACTTCGTTAGCAACATTGGGACAACAGTTTGTGTTATTTCTGCGTGTATACCGCAAATTCCGCAAATAACAACGGAGGGCGCGTAACAGCCCGGGGACCAATTAGCTTACCTCGATGGTACGGTAACTCGTGACGCGACCCACGCCGCAAGTGACACTGCACCGCGACCAATTTGACCAACGCGTCACCACGCAATCCACGGGAGGAGGTAGCGGAGGAGGGCTCAACGAGTCGGTGGGTGTTTGCTCTCGGCTTACGGTCTGGTTGAAGGCCTGGCCGGTAAGAGCAGCTCGCACCTGGGAAACGAGAATTTATAGGTGACATCTTCATTCTACTCGCGCGCGCGCGCGCGCGAACTTTCGCATATAACAAAGCATTCCCCGCTTACGACGCCGCAGGTGTTGCCGCACTCGTCCGCCGTTAGGAAATTATTCCGGTTGCCGCGGCATCCGCCGTACGCGAAGGGCACGCACATTAATTTCTGCGGATTGAAAGCCCACCTCTGGAAGTAGCCCCTGCACGGGCCGGGATCCGCGTCCTCCATGCACACCACTATAAAAAGATGTAGCGAATTTTCAGAAAGAAAGCTATAGAAGAAAAACTGATGCATATACTGCAAACAATACACGAATTAACAATTCGTTTTAATTAATTTTAATTGCCAAAGGAAGACTTTTCAAGTAAGAACAATAGATCACGATAATGCCAAAGTAACGTTAAGATAAAGCGTGACCGATCGAAAAGTAACTTTTAATAATCATTTTAAAATCATTTTGACACTTTTGATGCCATGATGATTTTTTTTTTTTTATTTATTCTCTGAACATTAAAATTTTTTACCCTTTGCCGTCGCCATGTCGAACGTACAGTCCGACTGAACAAGACACGGCCGTTGCTGGAGCAATTCCACGCGCGAGGAGCAGTCCGCTTGCAGCGACGGATCGACCATCAGCAGTCTGGTCCTCAATTTGACACCTTTACCGCAGGAAGCGCTGCAGGGCGCCCAGTCGGACCAGTCCGTCACCTTGAATCATCAAACGTTGTAAATTATTGAAATTATATCGCGGAACAATTGCATCTCACGGCAAGTAGAGTTCGGACCTTGCACACGGGATCGAGCTGCTCTTCCGTTCCCGTCTGACACGGCGGCTCCATACACTTATCCTTCTCGACGAGCGACACGAGCGGGCACCGTTTGCGACCGCGGCGGTCGCGGAACCTTCTCGTTCGCATCTTCAAACCGATGCCGCACGTGCTCGAACACTCGGACCACTCGCTCCATTCGGTGGTCTCGCAAAGCGGGTCGCTCTGCAACGAAATCACGTCGTCGTCGTCGTTCTCCTCTTCTCCCCTGAAAAAACAACTCCGATCGCGTTTCTATGCGAAGAATCAGAATTTATTTTGCGACCGACCGGCAAAATATGACATTCTCTTTAATTTGATTCTCGTGGAGTTTCGACACTCTTTTAATTCTCAGCCAGACACGGCAAAGGAATCACGAACGCACTCACGAGCATTCGGGAATAGACGCGACACACATCTCCTTCGAAACCAGTTGCCTATTGCAGTTGAACATCACCGCTTTCTCCGGCATTCTGTACGACCTCGTGCGCATCCTCAAGCCTTTGCCGCAGGTCACCGAACACGTCGACCACGGCGAATAATCCGTCGTCTGGCACTCCGCTTAAAATTCAAAATAAGATTAAGCTAAATTACCAAGATGAAGTCCAAGATAATCTTTAACTGAGAGTACTCAAAACTTAGAATTTGGTATCTCTATGTTAACGCTCGATGCGACGCCATTAAAATTTCGCGAACGATAAAGCTCTGAAAAGAGTTATTTCGTTAAGTTCCTCAGATCGCTTCTTAAAAAGATCTTTTTAAAATAACATGCGTACGTCTCGACGTGTCCTCGGTATTCTCGGCCACTTCCAACTCGGCTACTTGCTGCTGCAGCAGTTCCTCGCCGCATCCGCGCGGAATAATCTTCTCGCGGTTTAAATACAGTCTGGCCAGTGGGTGCATGGGCCTGCCGGACGGGTCGTAGAACGGTGATCGCGGGTCCTCCGGATAGAGCGTCGTTATCGGCTTCATCTTCTCGCGCGGTTTCGTCTCAGAATTCGGCGACATGTAACTGATGCCGTTGTCGGTGCCGGCGTCCCAGGGATAAAGATCGATTATCATACTCCTCGTCCAGGTGCAGTCCTTCTGACAGAGATTCAATTTGCTCACTCCTACCACCCAGTCGGGAGACGGGCCCAGCATCGAGGCCACCGAGAGAAGGGGATGCTTTCGATCTACCCTGAGAAATCGTAAAGAGACCGATGATTTAAAAAAATAGTCTATTAGCAATTATGAAAAACTATGAAAGTATTGTGAAATATTACGATCGAATTTAACACACATAAATTATTTTAAAAATTTATTAGAAAATTAATTCAAATATCTAGGAATTAAGAAAAAATAGAATCGTGACACACGTATAGTTATCTTTTGTATAGCTAATTTTCTTGTTTTTAGTCTTTTTATATTTTTGACGTAAGCTTTTACAAAATAATTTATAATATTTAGAAGACTTTCTAGATCTTATATTATCACAGTTGTCAATAGAGTTTGCTGTTTAATGTTAAATGTTTTCATATGCAAGTGATTTATACCTGAAGCTCGTCGTCGTATTCGTATTAACATTAGGATACCAAAGACCAGCGGCTTTAATAAGCGTTCTAAGAAGCCTGGATTTCTCTCTCAATTCCGCTTCCACGCCCGTTGCGGATCCCCACTCGGCCAATTGTCGAAAACCGTCCGTCGCGATGTGATCTCTACCCCAGAAGGAAAAATTTGGTTCGTGCGACGCACCGATGACGTCGCTGAAATGGGTCAACCAAGCAGAGAAAGGGAAGTCCTTCGGGTGTGTTTTGTTCGACCAAATGCCCTCCATAGTTAGCTGAAGAAAAGGTGCGACAAGACTGATTGCAACGACCCGTATCTCATGCATCGTGACTTCGACCCGCATAAATCAACGTAAATATGAAAATTGTATTATTTACAAGGTTTAAAAAAAATGTAAATTTTTTGTATATTAATCTTTACATTTCTGATGAACTCATCGAGATATTTCGTATCTCACCGAATACTTTGCTTCGTCGCAAGCGCAACATCTGGTTTCGTTCAAATTATCAACTTCCGCGTCTGTCAATTCGCAAACAGTCTTGGTGAGGGTACCATCTTCCGCGTACCATCGTACGTTATTCTCCAAAATCATCGCGGTGAAAATGACGCAGCCGGAGCCGGCTTCCGGCGCCCGCCACATCACCTGGATCTGTCACGAAAAATGCATCATTAAACAGGCACAGAAGCAAAGAGAAGAAATTAATACGTTTTTATTAATACACTTTTTTAAATTTCTACACGTCGCTCGTATTCGTACCTCGGACTTCGGATAATCGGCCGCCTCGGAGATCGTGTTAATGCAGTCCTCGTTGAAGGTAGTCAAGGAATCTGGAAACAGCTGGAAGTAACCGATGCGGGCCGTGGGATTATTCGGCGCGTGCTGCGAGTGCACCGTGAGCGTGAAGCGCGTGAATTGTTGTAGCCTCTCGTGCGTTTGCGATCCTAAAATGTCACACCGATTATGCGTAATAACGACACTTCGCGACCGATAAAAATGTTTGAGAAATCGTTCTCCATCCTTTCGTTCTTCCTGTCTTATTAAATTTTTTTTTCGATTTAATTAAATTAAATCTTTCAGACGTGCACAACCTTGCAGGCTAATCGTATGAATTGCATTCGGAGTGTATCCATTCGTCTGTCCGCTGATGAGAATTCTGTAACCGCCGTCGCCTGCCGTCCTGCTCGCGGAAGTTTGTTCCACCGTCGGCCTCATGGGACATCCGGCGTGAGTCACGGCGAGGAGACACGCCGTCAGTATTAGAAATAACATTTTGGTATGTCTGGAACATTTCGTACATTTCGATAATTATTCCCAACTTGCCCGAAGCGATTTGGGGTCTTTATGGCGTTTGAAATTCGTTGAAGCTATCTGTAACAATTGCTTAACGATGACCATTTTTATTTATGGTATATAAGTGATTATTAAAAGTGATTAATGATTATCTCTACCATGGAATTTTATTAAAGTATTCCGCGAAAATTCTCTAGTGCATTGTGAGCATTATTATTAAACAGTATGAAATTTAACAGTTACGTAAAATCATTGTCCAACATTCGTGCGAGATCTGTAATAGAGAATGAGAATCTGAATAGAATAAACGAGAATGACATTCCGGCGACTTTGTCCTTGAATTCACGCCTCGCTTGCTCTGCTAAGAAAATTACCGCAATTGACAGCGTCGCGAAACCGAGCAAATCTCAGCTGATCTTAAATTGCTATTGTCAGAATTCGTTTGAAAAGCAATGAATAAGCATAGCCATATGATCCGAACGCGAATGCCCGCCGATCTTTTCCGAACGTTATTGTTGGATCTAATTTGACATAAATCGCCGCAGAAACACCTTGTGCTACATAGAGCAACAAAGCGACGATGCATAATTGCGAGCGGATCGCGTGTCGGGCATGATTTCGCAATCGCGAACGGGGAACGGAGATTGCACTATTGTAATATTGCGAGCAAAGTGCAATTAGGAAATCGTTGAATTATGACAGTAATCATTGAATTATGAGCGGCGGAGGAAGAAGGAACGGAAATATTTTATTTCTCTCGAATAAAAAAAAAATAGAATCGGGACAATTTTTCTGCAATTGATAAAACTGTGACGTTTTCGACTGATAAACTAAAATTTATACTCTCATCTTCTTATTAACATTTAAATAAAATTACTCTGGCTAAAACTCGCACGATCTGATCGCCTTCGACTCTTGCAACAGTTTCGAAACCGATCCGCGATCGTGCGACATTTCAATGACATAATATAATAGCTATATTATATTAGATTATTCGCGGCAATACTCGATTTTCTCAGCGAATCAATGGAGAAGCAATTTTTTTTCGCATAAAAGGGATCATGAGAATGTTAATTGTTATCGCGCGACTCTCCCATAAGCAATTTTTGCGAAACAGAAAAGAGATTGATCGTAATTATATTTCGATATTGACATTTGCGATTGGACAAATGTTTCTTCTTCTTTTTTGTCATAATTTAAACTATCGTGGTTTCTCTGTGCATAGGCCCGTGATATTTTACAATTGCAAGAGATTAAACTACACTTGAGATTACGATTCGTGTCAAGACGCTTGGTCAAGACGTTCATACGCCTCGATTACTGGAATTAATAGACATCGTCGTACCAGACAAGCAGCAAATAACCAAGACAGTGTAATGAAAGAATACGATTGCATTAAGGTACGCGTTTATCCATTAGTTATAAAATGCTAATATAATAAATTAAAATGGCAAAAGTGTGAACTTAATGAATAATAATAAGGTAAAAAAATGTAAAAGTACGTGGAAGAAACATTTATAAAAAGCAATTTATCGGAAAAGGAATTTGTTTATTGAGCAAGTTAAGGAAGATTGAAGAATTAAGTAACGTGATTAATCGACGAGACATGAAACATGTTTATTTTTTAAAGCGACAGCTCCGTATGACACACGTCCCGCAAATGCAAATGTGCTAAAGGTAAAAGAAAGAGTATGTGCGAGTTTCTCGGATGAGCTTCGAGACGTTATTAAAGCCACGTGCGGAGCGCGTGCCGCGCGTATGTATCCGCGCGCATATTCCGCGCTCGATGCATCCGATTACGGTCGAATAGCTGGAAGAACTGGGTCGGGACTCGTGCCAATCCGCCTCGACCGGCTTTCGAGATCGGCGCTCGCGAGAGATGCGGGCATGTATGTAGGTGGCTGTAGGTTTCTAGAACGCTTCGGCTCGGCGAGGCGGACGAGAGACACGAGAGTGAGACGGAACGAGACGGGACGGGCGAGAAAGACGCCGGGGAATGCACGGTGCACCGGGCCGGAAATTGCCAGAGCGCGGCACCCGAGAGAGATGCATCTCTCGTGATTCGGCACGTGACACGAGTCGTTCCCGTCGTTCCCGACTATCGCGCGTCCCGGATGCGGAAGCGCGCTCCCCGTCTCGTTCGTGAAATTTCGATGTACCGAGACATGCGAGAGATTCGACAATTTCATGCTCCTTGAAATCCTCCTTCTGGGAGAGCGTCGTAATTGTGCACCAGCGAAGTCGTGCGCGAGGATGCAGTGAAAATGCATGGACAACCGCGAGTTTTTTTTTTTTACATTTAAAGAGATCGTGAAAGTGAAAGACGCACTCTCGTGCGCGTGTCAGGCGCTCCACTTAATTCCCGCGATAAAATTAATCGCCGCTGAAACGTAATCTCAGTTCCACTGAATGAACAAAAAAAAAATAATCATTGAGGTTATTGATCGACGCTTCCGCGAGAATTTTAATATTTATATCGCTAAGTATCTTACTTCGTGGTCCCACTCTCGTTACTTTTTTAGCAGCGCTCATTAATCAATGCCGCGATCGATATATATATATATATATATATATATTCACTTTCACGGTTTCACCGCGGACGCTTATTCCATTCATTAATCGTGAATTGCACGTGGAAATTATTGTTGTAGCTTGACGGCGGCGGCGGCGACAGCCTGCACTGGCTCCGCGTGTACACACGCGTGAAAACTGATGCATATATGACGACACACAGTCGAACTCATGCCCTCCATTAAATCCCTACCCGCGGCCGCGGCCGCGTGGGTGAATTTACGCGTGTCACGACAACGAACGACCGCAATTAGTGAAATAATTAATAGTTATACGGGCGCACTGAACGCGCGGCGAACTATACGTACGGTACATCTCGATTGTATGCCATATTTGGCAGACTCTGTCAGAAACGTGTGATTAATTAATTTGCATCTCTCTCTCTCTCTCTCTCT